AAATATGGCAGAAAGTCCCAAACTTACATTTCAAACATAATATTGGGGCCTACATGTAAGCTGCTATTGAGCAATCAAGTTTCATCAGCCAGCTGTTTGTCTCAATACATTTGGAGGATTTTCCAGGCAAGAATACTTGAGTGGGTTGCCATTTCCTTCTCCAGGAGATCTTCCCAACCCAGGGATTGAACCCAGGTCTCCCGAATTGTAGGCAGATGCTTTACCATCTGAGCCACCAAGGAAGTCCATTTGGAGGGCAGTGTTTAATCTTTTGAGAAAGATAGGAAACAAAAATAGTTTAGGTCTCTTTAAGAAAGGAAAGTATTTTAATTAAAAAGAACTGTAGGACTTCCTGGTGGTCCTGTGGTTAAGAATCCGCCTGCCAATGCAGGAGACACTGGTTCAATCCCCGGTCTGGAAAGATTCCACATGCCATGGGGCAGCTATGCCCACACACCAGCAACTACTGAAGCTCTTGCACCCTAGAGCTCCTGATCCAAAACACGAGAAATCACTGCAATGAGAAGCTCATGCACCACAACAAGAAGTAGCCCCCACTTGTCGCAACTAGAGAAAGTCCATGCCCGGCAAGGAAGACCCACCACAGTAAAAAATATAATAATAATAATAATAAAACAGTAGTCTTTCTAAAAAAAAAAAAAAGGAACTGTAAACAAACTCTTGCACCTAAAGGTACATTTGTTTATTTGGGCATTATATGCAAAGAATACCTCTTTGTTGGACAGAGAAGATGCTGTTGCTACCAGTGTGTATTTGCTAAATAATAGGGTTAAGACAGTCTCCTTAAGAGAGACTGTCTGTATCTCTGGTGATAATTCCTTTTGGCTGTGTTTCTCAGCCGTCCAGGGTAAAGTCATCAGAACTCTCTTGTTATCAAATTACTTTATGATGAAAGTTTTTTTACCATATGAAATGTAAATGTCTTTTATTTGTTTGGATGTCAGTTATCATGAAACAGATGAAAAGTCACAAAACGCCAGGTAAGAAACAGGAATAGATGAAAATGGTACTTGTTAATGACTGCAAATATAAATAAATTTAAAACAAGTTGTGTTTTCTCCTTTCCTATGAAAAGCTGTTTCTGGTTCTTCTAATGTTTTAGAAAGTACATTATAATTTCTGGTATTTGAAACAGTAGCATGGTAAAAATAGGACTTTCAAAAATCTTAAAACCAAAACACAACAGGAAGATTTATTTATGTTTCAACCGCAATAAATCAAAGCAAAAGAATTTGAGTAGCAATCAGTAATGGGATATTTACAAATATAGCTGCCAAACACTGCAATATTAAACCTTATTAATCATCCAGTAGTCTTCTTATCTGTGTTAATATTAACATTTTCACTTTAGACTTAATTTGTGTGGAAAGATAAAAAATAAGTAGTTATATCATTTAAGTTATAAATAAATCTGGTTTCCCTGGTGGCTTAGATGGTAAAGAATCTGTCTGTAATGCAGGAGACCCGGGTTTGATACCTGGATCAGGAAGGTGCTCTGGAAAAGGAAATGGCAACCCACTCCAGTATTCTTGCCTGGAGAATCTCATGGACAGAGGAGTCTAGTGGGCTACAGAGTCCATAGCGTTGCAAAGAGTCAGACATGATGAGCAATTCACCCTTTCACTTTCATAAATAAATCTATGACTCAGTAAGTCATGAAAGAGAAGAACTTAAAGTTTGGAAGATTCTGCGACCCCATGGATTGTAGCCCATCAGGTTTCTCTGTCCATGGAATTCTCCAGGCAAGAATACTGGAGTGGGTTGCCATACCCTCCTCCAGGGGATCTTCCCAATCCAGGGATTGAACCCAGGTCTCCCACATTGCAGGTGGATTCTTTAACATCTGAGGCACCAAGGAAACCCAAGAATCCTGGAGTGGGTAGCATGTCCCTTCTCCAGGGCATCTTCCCAACCCAGGAATCAAACTGGGGTCTCCTGCATTCCGATTGTAGGTGGATTCTTTATCAGCTGAGCTACCAGGGAAGCCCCAATAGAAGCTAAAATTTTTAGCAGGTATAGCACAAAGGAAATGTAAAACTAAACCTTAAAATTGTTCATGTGAGCTCATATATACAAAGGAGATCTTTTCTAACTCTGCCTCTAAATAGCCCAGCTACAGTTATCCCAACACTATACTCAAGACAGATAATCTATCCTCCATCCCTGTGCTTAATTTTCATACACTAGTATAGTATATTTCTCTACATTCTGGTCAACTACATAATATATCACCCTAAAACTTTATTGTTGTTCAGTCACTAAGTCATGTCCGACTCTTTGAGACCCCATGAACTTCAACAAACAAGGCTTCTCTGTCCATCACTATCTCCCTGAGTTTCCTCAAATTCATGTCCATTGAGTCAGTGATGCTACCCAACCATCTCATCCTCTGTCGTTCCCTTCTCCTCTTGTCCTCAATTTTTCCTAGCATCAGGGTCTTTTCCAATGAGTCAGCTCTTTGCATCAGGTGGCTGAAGTATTGGATCTTCAGCATCAGTCCTTCCAATGAATATTCAGGGTTGATGTCCTTTAGGATTTACTGAATTGATCTCCTTGCAGTCCAAGGGACTCTGAGAGTCTTCTCCAGCACCACAGTTTGAAAGCAACAATTCTTTGGTGCTCAGCCTTATTTATAGTCCAAATCTCACATCCATACGTGACTACTGGAAAAGCCATAGCTTTGACTATATGCACCTTTGTCAGCAAAGTGATGTCTCTGTTTTTTAAAACACTGTCTAGGTTTGACATAGCTATTCTTCCAAGGAGCAAGCGTGTTTTAATTTCATGGCTGCAGTCATCATCTGCACTGATTTTGGAGCCAAAGAAAATGAAATCTGACACTGTTTCCACATTTTCCCCATCTCTTTGCTATGAAGTGATAGGACCAGATGCCATGATCTTTGAATGTTGAGTTTTAAGCCAGCTTTTTCACTCTCCTCTTTCACCTTCATCAAGAGGCTCTTTAGTTCCTCTTCACTTTCTGTCATTAAAGTGGTAAAATAACCCTAAAACTTAATGGCTTAAAACAACAATCACTATTATCTCTCACAGTTCTGGAGGTTAACAGGTTTGATTGAGTTGTTCTTGCTTTGGGTCTTCTTAGGGTTACAGTCAGATGTGGCTATGATTGAAGTCATCATCTTTATTGTATATCATTTTTTTTTGGGGGGGCTGTGCCTCACAGCTTGTAGGATCTCTGTTCCTTAACCAGGGATTAAACCTAGCCACGGCAATGAAGTGCTGAGTCCTAACCATTAGACCACCAGGGAACTTCCTGAAGTCATCATCTTTAAATGTCTGACATCTGGGATGGGATGTCTGGAACAATGGGGAGCTAGTTTGGTATCTTGCACTCCACATGGCTAGCTTGGGCTTCCTTACAGTATGGTGGGCTTAGGGTAACTGAATTTCTTAGGTGAGGGCTGGCATCATCCAGAGTGAGCATTCCAAGGCACCTAGGAAGAAGCTGTAAAAGTTCTTATGACAATCTTGGAAGCCCTACAGTCACTTCTGCTGCACTCTGGTAGTTAAAGCAGGTGCAGGTCAGCTCAGATTCAAGGAGGTGGGAGGATACCTGCATGTACACAGAGAGAAGAAATCGATGGCTTCGCAAAGCATGTTTCTGCCATAGGAATTAGTTCGTGTGTGATTAGAGAATGATGTCAGTCTAACCTAAAAGTCAAGCCTGGTCATATCAGATTTTTCTAGGTGAGGAGCGCCAGAAGAGCTGGAGTAGAATTGCAACCTTCAGCAGAAAGGAAAACACTCCCACCACGCAGAGCTGTACTGGGAGTAGGATTCCTCTGTGTTTTGTGAACATTGAAAACGAGCCGCTGCACCAGGCTCCCTGTGGGAGCCCAGAGAGGCGGACCCCAGCTGTGTGTCACTTTCGGCTCCTGTGCCTGGGAAGTTCCTGGCTCAGAGCTGGTTCCAGCTGGATTGTCCCAGCAACCTCCTGGCTCTGCTCTAACTGAACAGTGACCAGTATTGCCATTCAGTGTTTATGTGAATTTTTAATGTATACTCTGGTAGCCTCTAGCCATGTCTCGCTGCCTACATGTGTGGTCCAAGGTGATTGCCAAGGTACCAATGATTATTTTTCTTAGCACTTTAGTCACAAGGTTGCTTATCTTTTGAGTGTTCTCCCCAACTTTATTTATCCCATAAGCCCCATGACTTTTAATGTGTATTTTTATAAAACACGAGGTTTTTCATTAAGGCACATTTCACATTATAGCAGACAAACCAGAACTATTTATTCTCCACAGGTCTCTTTGGAGAGAAGCTGATTCCATTCTTAGGGTGACATTCTAGACAGACTTGGAACATTTATTGTCAGAAAGTAATGATGCTTTAGAAATTCTGGAGAAAGATGGAGAAACTAGCCTAAAGGAGGATTGATTGACCAAATTGCAACAATCTAAGTATCGAAAACTAAAAATAAAACCAAAAATTATGGTTAATAAAAATATATTGAGTCATGAAAAGCCACAGTCAGTAACGCCATTCAAAGAAAAATAAGAATTTTCTTTTCCAATAACAAGTGTTATATTTGGGTTGCATCTATTCAAACGAGCCAAGATGTTATCATGTGCAAGTCCACACATTGCTTCAGGACTGCAGACACATATACACACAAAGGCAGACAAAATACCTACCAACAAAAGACTGAAAGATTTCGTGCCCAGGTTTGGGATGTCCTTGTTCATTACAGTGACTGAAGTATGCTTGTTATATTGAGTATGTTAAAGTATATAGAGTCTGCAGAGCCTTAGAATTCAGTCACACTTTCACTGCCCACAACACCTAGATTTTCAGATAGTAGTAGAACATTAACATGGATATTTGAAAAATATAAACTTGCTGGTTTGTGCAGAAACAATGTTTAGACAGTTTTTGCCTTCAATTTCTCATGAATATAAGACTTTCAGGCAACAGAAAGATAGCACACTTTCCTGCTACTTGCTAGTAAGACCTCCTGTTTTAAGTCTGTGGCCGGCCACTTTTTATTTGATGACATAGTAATCTAGTTCTAGTGAAACTCATAGACAAAAGGAACTCCTTCTCCCCCTCTCACTTCCATCTCCCTTGGGTCTGAAAAACATGTAGCCTTGAGTCGAATGGATTTTGTCTTTCAAACGAACTGGAAATACAGCAATGTCTCTTAGCTTATATCTACCTGCTGTTTGGTGGGTCCAGCGGTTACTCCTTTGTTTTCTGCTTCGCCCTGCATGACCACTGAAGGAGCAGGATGAATCTTCCCAAGGACAGAGGGGAGAGGCCTGAGGACTTACATCTTGAACCATTCTAGAGGGGTGGGGGAAATTTTTGTCAACTTGAACCAAAATGACTCTACTGAACCTGAAATAACACCAAAAAGACAAGTAAGTGTGGCACTAGTTGCTTTTTTAAGAAAAGCATTTTAATGTTTCATATGTTGTTTGTACAGCCATGTGTCCAAGATGTGTTTCGTAGTCTTAGAAACATGTAAAGGTTAATTATGCCAGGGGTTTTCCCAATGTTTTCTTAGATGAAAATATCATGGAATTGTTAAGCTGATAAAAATTTGAGTTACTCTGCTAAAGAAATTAAAAAATGTTATCTTAATGAAAAGTGAGATGTTTGAAAGGTCATTTGTGACATAATAGAACTAGAGGCATAATTGGAATAAGTGAAACTAGGGTAAAGGGTATCTAAGGAACTTAGGAATTCTGAAGTTTGAGTCAATTTGGGGGCAGACCCCAAAGGTGAAACATTTTGGAAGTCTGGAAGTAGCAGGCCTCAAATCTCACTCACATCAAGCGCGTTAGCCAAGCTTGTGTGTATTGTTTGTTAGTTGCTCATTTGTGACCCTGTGGGACCGTAGCCTTCCAGGCTCCTCTGTCCAAGCAGGCATATTGAGAGGGGTTTAAAAAATTTTTTTATGAGCACTTGCTGAGATACAGACCTACTTAACTGCAATGCCTGTAATGTTTATGCTGCATTACCAGAAGCTTTTTTTTTTGGGAGGTGTGAACAAAAACAAACAAAAATAGTCAAGGCCATATATACTGTTTTTCTTCAATGCTGCTGAAATAGAAAGTAATTTTTCACTTTATAAAGTAACTGCAAACTCTGAGATGATTTTCAGCTTCACAGACCCTATGCTGGTAATGAACTTCATCCAGCCCATAGAAGAGTCTTCAGTAGATCTCAGTCAAGCCATGTGAAGCCTTGTTTTCACCAGAGCACACAGCACTATAGCAGGGGCTGGAGGGAGGAAGAAAGTGGTCCATTCTACTTGGGTGGAATGAGCCGAGAAAGGCTCTTGAGGGAGGTGACCTTAAACAGTGTCTCAAAAACAGCAGAGACATCTTCCAGGCAGAGGAGGTGGACTTAGCAGAAAGGCCAGATGTTCCCCTAAATGTGGGGAGCAGAGTGGGCAAGGGTGACATAGTCTGGTGTGTCTGTAACTGTGGATTTCAGAGTGAGGTATTGCACAGTGAGATAAATACCACATGAAAAGTCGGATGGAAAGTGAGGCCAGATCAATACTAAAGAGTTCATTTTCATTGATTTATTTAATAAATCCATATATCGAGAACCTATTAAATGTCATACCTTTAGGAGACAAGACACATTGTTGTTCTTGTGGAGATAAGAGTATAGAAGAGGCAGACAGACAGTAAATCAACCATCACACAAATAATTATTCAACTACTTGCAATAAGCTCTCCTTGTGAAGGACAATGCTTGTGTGATGAGAGTTTGCAACAGGAAAATCCAAATGAGTCTAGGGGTCCAGGAAGGCTTCCATGAGGAAGTGACAGTTAAGGCTGAGACTCAAGTAGGGACTATTGAGCTTAAAGGGGGGTTTATTTGGTGGTGAGGTTGTTGGGTGGGGTTGGAAAGAACATTGCAGGCAGATGTGATGTGGACAAAGGTCTGGAGACAGGGAGTTATGCGGTGCTATTAAAAAAGAAAAAAAACAAAACAGAAAAGACTGCATCCACAAAGAATGGGAGGCATGTGATCACTCTTGGGTTTCAGGAGCCTCTCCCTGGCCGCAGTGTGGGAACGATAAAGGCGCAGCGGACCAGTGCTAAAGAAACCAGCCGGTGTGCTGTCATCACAGACCTGGGGGCAGTGTCAAGGTGAGCACTGGAGCTGGGGCTGTGTGGACAGAGAGGGTAGAACAGACTCGACAGATATCGAGGGGCTAGAAGTGATTGTACTCAATGAAAATAATTAGATGTGGGCAGCAAGGAGAGGAAGACCCCCAGGTTCCTGGATGGAGCAATGGGGCAGATAGTGAAATGGAGGATTAGACTGGGGGTGGTGATGGAGAGGATTAGGGGCTGCTACTGTGTTTTACTTTGGACATGCTTAGACTGAACTGCCTATGAGGATATCCAACAGGCAGATGGATATGAGTTTAAAGTTCCAGAAAGCTTTCAGAGCTGGAGTTACAGAAGCAGAAAATAACAATTAAAAGCCACGACAAGTAACAGCTCACTCAGGGAAAGGAAACAGAGAAGACAAGAGGGTCTGGGACCAAGCCAGACATAGCCAAAAATGACAACAGCATAGATATTTACCAGGCAAACAGAATGGTGGAGTATCTTTTTCTTTTACAAGAAACATAAATGTTCTTCCTGAAAATTAACTTTTAATTTACACTTTGTTCTACAAAATGGAGTCTCCATTAACATTTTTTAAACAAATATTTAGAATTTCTCTGAATCCCTCCGGTTTTGTAGTTTTCTAATCAAACTCCAAAAAGCTATGCTGTTCTTTGTGCAAAATTCATTAAAATCTCCTCAGGAGCTCCATCTAAGTGCTTCAATATGCACTAAAAATGTTATTTGAATCCCCTTTGATTTTCAGGTTGAACATCCTTGTGTTTGTCCTAGCAGATCTGGTCCTCACATGGACAGCTAACTCCCATCATGTTTCTCTGGGTCTGCATTTGAGTATAAAAATTGGAATCACCTTTTTTCTAACTGCAATACCATCAGTGTTAAATTTTAGTGTAAAATTTAATTGGAACCTTTGATGTTTAGGTATCTCAATGCTTCCCTACCTAAATGACCCATGTCGTGTGAATGGCAGTTTTATATTAGAATTAACTAAACATAGAGAAGAATTTAGAGAATCTAGTTCATTGATTCAGCTTTGAGTGCTGACCCCAGTCTTTATCACTGAAGTGCTCCTATGTGCTCAGTGAGCTGGCTTTATCTGGAAGCACTTGTAATAGTGGTACCTGGCTCTTGAAACCATCTTCCAAAGGCCCCCTACCCCCTTCACAAATGGTGTTTCACTTATAACCTTTCTGGAATCATTGTCCCCAAGAGGATATACACACCCCTCATTTGCGTCAGTGTCCATTCTTGTTGTCCTCTTCAAAATCTTGTTGTGAGGTTCTCAAGTTCTGCCCTGCAGTGACCTTGGAAGAAATACTGTTTTGAGCTGTGTCTATTCCTTGAACATAAAGTTCTTTACAAACATCTGCGTCTCCTTCACGACAGACACCTGTCAGGATCTGAGGAAACTCTGGCAGAGCACGGTGGTGTTTGTGGTAAAGCATCCATGTCTGCAAACTCCAAGTCTCTAAGTGAGTACTGCCATTCCACTGCGCTGGGTTGAAGAGCTGAGATGTAATTGTAAATGGACATGCTTGGGACCTCCTCACTGCTCGGACTGCTGCCTGATGACTGGGGCAAGGAATCCTCATATTTGTTGACGTTAAAGGCACCTTCCAGATGAGTCTCGCACAAATGAGAGTCTGGGTCAGAAATGCCAGTTTTCCCAAAATGATCTTCCTGATTTTCACATTTCCTCAGAGTCTTCTGGAAGGCGATGTTCTCAGCACTCTCTAATGGCCTGACACTGTCCCTCCTCTCACAGGAGACCTGGTCCCCAGGGGGCTCCCCGGCTCTCCAGCTCTGCTCCCCACGTGCCTCCTCTTCCGCCACATTTCTCCAGTCTTCTGAACTTGTTGAACTCAGAGTAAATAAAGACCCTTCCTCAGAATCGGAGTCAGAGTCCACCTCATACTGAGCGTCAGGAGTGTGCTTCTGCGTGGGCTCCTGGTAAGCTGGAGTCACTGGCAGGTCGCCGCCGCATCCTGGAGGGACGCCGAGTGGGGACGGGTCTCCCGAGTCACTGAGTGCGGCCGCTTCGTAGTGGGCGGGATAGTGGGCAGGAGGTTGTCCCTCGGCACCGGCACCCTGGAGGCTCTGCTGCTGTGGGCTCTGCCCGTTCTCCTTAGAAAACTCTGAAGGGAAGTGTGGGGGAGCCCCTCTGCTCTCTGCCCCAGGGCTCAGCGCCTGTGTGCGAGCTGGCCTTTGGCAGAGAGGCGCTGTCGTTTCCTCGGGGCGGGGTGGGCCTAGTTCATTGGAATCCTTACGGTCTGTGCCAGGGCTGGTCTGTATTCCGGCAGACACTGCAGGGATGCCCACTGAACGCTCACCGAGGGAAACTTGCCTGGCCACAGTGTCGTAGCTGCCTTCTCCAGGAACATCATTCCTGTAGATGTGGTCCCATCCCGCCGATGTGAGTTGGGTATCATGGGTGTTTGGCAGTCCATAGAGAACGCGCCAGGCTGCACTGTGATTTGGGGGCACCTTATCCATCCCACTTTCTGCCCCAGTGGGGACCCCGCGTTGTTCCCTGTCCTGCCGGCCACCAGCCTCCCTTCTGCTCGGTGCCACTGTTCTTGCAGGAACCACAGCGGCACTTGGGGCCTGGTTCTCATAGAGGTTTAGATGGTGGACAGTTTGGCGCAGACCCATCCTCGGCTGCTGTAGGTTTACCGCACCTTCGATTTCATCGTAGAAGGCCTGGTTTGAATACACATTCCCTGACGCTGAACCTGGACTTTTTTTCCGGCATCTCTGTTGCCACAGTCTGTCCACATAAGGCCTCGCAAAAGCCCCCAGGCAGAAAGCCACGAAGAACGTGATGAACACCGACAGGCAGACGGCCAGGACCAGGTCCTGGGAAGAGGCTTCCTTTCTGCCAGCAGTGTGCACATCCTCGGCCCTCCTAACCCGTTTTAGCAGCTGTCTCGGCCTGTCACCAACATCGGAGCCTGCAGTGTCCTTCTCCAGCATGGAATAGCGCACTTCCGGGGCCCTCTCAGCTCTGCTCCCTGTGATGGTTTTCATATGACTCAGGTCAGCATGAGGAAGGTGAGTCTCTCTGGACACTCTGCTTGTGAGGGTCCACCCGTGTGCATCCTCCTTCCCTAAGAACGGGAATGAGATTCCAGTGATTTAAAAGCATCTGCGAGTCCTCAGTCTTTTATCTCCCTGTGTGGGTGTGCAGGCACTTCAGTCCTGTCCTACTCTTTGCAACCCCATGGACTGTAGCCCGCTAGGCTCCTCTGTCCATGAGATTCACCAGGCAAGAATACTAGAGTGGGTTGCCATGCCCTCCTCTAGGGGATCTTCCTGACCCAGGGATCAAACCCACATCTCCTGACTTGCAGGCAGATTCTTTACCACTGAGCCACCAGGGAAGCCTCAGTCCTTATCTAGCTAGATTTAAAATCTGTTTTACATGATAGCAATTTTACTGGCTGATTGACTGATTGGCTGTCTAATGCCAACAGTGTGTGTAAGGCTCTGTGCACATTTACACGAGGCTCTCAGGCTCAGGTCTGAGGCTCCAAGGGTCTGAGGCTCCAAGGCCCAGAGGCTGTGTTTCTGAGGCTTCCTGACTGACTCCTGCCCACAGGAGGAAGGAAGCCAGGCTCTGGGTCCAGTCACATTGCCCCTCCTTTCTCCACATCCTTACCTACTTACTGCACATCTGTAAGGACATTCTATCAGCCCCCTGCAAAATCTGCCTTGGCCCCACCTGTGTTTGTTATATCATCTCCTCACCTTCCTCAGTGCTGGTAAACAGCAAAAATATTCAGGTTTTTCTATTGGTTCCTGACATTCTGCCCTCCACACTCGGAAGGCTGGTGTGGCTTTTACAGAGTGATGAAACAAGTGTGGCTGACACCATTAAGACTTCTCTCATCATTATGGATTTCTCCTAAACCCGTTAAGCATGGCCATGTCTCTACTCAATAGCAGTCCTGAGTAGAGCAGAGGCCAGAACTCATTAAAAAAAAAGAGAGAGAGAGAGAGAAATCCATTTGTCTCTTTTTTCCCAGTTAGGAGTTTGATTTTAGATTTAGCCAAGATAGTTCATAACAACAGTGCTCAGTTTTGTCTGACTCTGCAACCTCATGGACTGTAGTTGCCAGGCAACTGTCCATGGGATTTCCCAGGCAAGAATACTGAACTGGGCTGCCATTTCCTTCTCCAAGGGATCTTCCCAACCCAGGGATCAAACCCACATCTCCAGCATTGGCAGGCGGATTCTTTACTGCTGAGCCACCAGAGAAGCCTGATAGTTAATAGTGGGGGTGGGTGGGGGACAAAAACCTTTCCAGAATATTCAATTCCAGTCACATATTTTAGCAGTTTGGGAGAGTGACAGGTAAAAAAGCAAAGAAAAATATACTTTTGAAATTTGTGTGTTTTGTTTATGTTATATTTTCAGAGGGGTAGCAAGTATCTTAAGTCAGTATGGTTCAAGTTTTAGAAGTTCCTTGATTATTTTGTTACTCTTTTGGATAAAAATATGACATCTGGGGGTTGTAGAGAAACATTCTCTCTTGGTGAAATTTCTGGTTTTGACCAAATCCAGTGTTTCCTGACCATGTGAAGAAAATTGTTCATGAATTGAGGAAAACAGGTACCAACAATTGTTCCGTGATATAGCCCAACGATGACTAATGCACTCCTGCTCCTGAGGTGGCTGTCATTGTTTCAAATGTCACTAAACATTTTGTGTACATTTTTTTTCTGTTTAAATGGAACCACTTCTGAGAGGAGAGGTACTCCTGACTTACCTAAGGACTCGCTGCAAACAGCATTCCACCTTTTCCTCCAGGACTCAGAAATAACATTTTGGAAGACTGCCAGGCTGTAGTCACACTGCCACGGGTTATCAGCCAGGTCAGCCTCCAGGTGGGGAAGTTCTAGGGCCATGACTACTACTGGCAGGATGGCTGTCATTGCGTTGTTGCTGAGGTCTACCATCTGCTCAAGAAAAAAACAAAAATTTAGGACAGTCTGTGAATAAAGACATTTGGAGACAAATGACTTACAGATACGATCTATATCTCTATGGAAGCAATATGAATTACCCACTGATTTCAGAGTCAGAGACTACTGGGTTTAAATCTCTGCTCTGCCCCTAAGAACTCTGTGAGACTCAGCAAATTGTTGACTCTCAATGAGTCAACCTCCCAGGGTTGTTCTGAAGATTAAATATGTGGGAAATCTTTAAGTCCAGAGCCTTTATTAGAAGCCCAATCACTTTCCCTTCCCTTTTTCCTAAGAGTTGTGATTTGTACTGCTAGATATAACCTAGACTCCCAATTCTTATCAAGATTTGGAATTAGGTACCAGGTTTAGAATGTCTAGAAGCCCTATAATCTTGAAAGTGGCAGAAAATATTGGATGATGAGGATAGAGTCCAGAAGAACAACTGTGGTTGAACAGAAGGAGCAAAGAGGATTCTTTTGCATCAAGTATTATTTTAAATGTTGTTCAGTCGCTCAGTTGTGTCTGATTCTCTGTGACCCCATGAACTACAGCACTCCAGGTTCCTCTGTCTTCCACTATCTCCCAGAGTTTGCTCAAATTTGTGCCCTGAGTTGATGATGCTATAACCACCTTATCCTCTGCTGTTCCCTTCTCTTTCTGCCTTCTATCTTTCCCAGCATCAGGGTCATTTCCAGTGAGTCTGCTCTTCACATCAGGTGTGAAGGTAAGATGCTACCTTATCTTAAAGGTAGTACATTTCTCTGCATCCTTGGCTACTCAGTATATACAAAATGACTGCTTTTCCTAGTCTCATATGAAAGAAAAGGGAATGCGGGGAACAAAAAGGACTCAGTGATTCTAGAAACACAGAGCAGATCTGCTCTGTGATCTGCTGAAGTTGGATCTGGCAGTGGAGTTATGGGGTAGGAGAAGCAGAGTTAGGTATAGCTCTCGCTGCTGTCTACAGAGCATTGCTGTTGTGTACCAGGCATTTTACTGGGTGCTTTACATGCCTTATCTCTGATCCTCCAAACAGCTTTGTCATCTCCCCCTTTTTACAGAGAAGGAAACTGGACAAGGTCACAGTATATCCCACATAGTCCCTAGTCCTAGAACTTGGTACCCACATGCTCAGAAAATAATGGAGGGATGAACAAACGAATGAATGAATGGCAGAGTTAAAGTCTGATCTGCCTCTGCAGCTGGGTGCCTTCTATTCCAGAATACAGCCTCTTGGAGCCTGAGCTCTCACTGCCCTGAAGTGAAGGGCTGGGCAGAGGAGGCCTGGAGCGTGAGGCACCAGGGTGGGATCATGGGATTTGAAAGCAAATCATAAATGCAAACTTTGCTGAAAAGTAAAAAGAGGGACATGGATAAAAACCAGAAAGTCTGAATGTAATTAAGGTCAATTGTTTAATAAACATCAGGGAAAAAGCAGCACTGGCATCTTAGGTTATATAAATTCTTAAGAAAAGCTGACTCAAACACTCAAACAACACCATAACCAATACTCAGCAGTGAAGGGGACCTTTGCATTGTTGAGTAACCAAGCCCTCTTAACTCTTAAAGGAAGGTTGTCAAAAATAGGAAATGAGATTTGGAAGACATACACAAAACAACTTTGCTTTGCGGCCTTGCCTAGGATCAATAGCTTTCTGTGTACACCCTTCTCATCAACAGGTGAAATATCCTAATGTTTTGGTGGGTATTTTCTTCTTTGTGCACATCTGCTTTTTCATCCTAGAAGCTATTATGTTACAAATCATGAAACTGAAATCAAAACAGAAAAGAGGACAGAAAGCTAATAAAATGATTCAGCAGGGGTAATTTCTGAGAAAAGATGAAAACAGAATAGACCGATTTGGCTAAAGAAGTGACCATTCACCATCATTTGAAAGGAATGTACATTATATTGTAGAGAGATTGGGAGAAGCATGTAATGTTGGTAACAAATCACTATGCTAGGAAGAATGGCATGCAAAAAGGAAGGCTAATTTGAAATGCCAATGAAACATTTTCATTCTATCTAAACATGAGGATGGATTTATGCTTTAAAAATCTATCTGGCTTCTGAAAAGATTCCCACATGGGAAGACACATAATATAGTGCAAGTATTAAATATATCATCTGGGGGAAAAAAACAGCATCCATTTTAATATTCAGCTTTCTGGTACCAAAGATTCTCATCATGTCCCCAAACCAGTTTTTAGAGTTATTGCTGAACAAGCAGAAGGGATAAGAGAGAAGGAGAAATTGCATAATTCTGGGCAACTCAGGTAATTTAGAATTACAGATGATTTAAACATTCTTGGGCTTATTTTTTAGTCCGCCTGTAGCATCTATTACCTGTGAGCTGCAGAAGACTTTTATTTATAAGCACAATAAAAATGCACAGGAAATAAAACAGGCATAGGGAAATTATATATATAAATATAATCAGCATGGGCTTCCTTGGTGGGTCAGTGGTAAAAGAATCTGCCTGCAATGCAGGAGATGCAAGAGATGTGAGTTCAATCCCTGGGTTGGGAAAATCCCCTGGAGGAGGGCATGGCAACTGACTCTAGTATTCTTGCCTGGAGAATCTTCATGGACAGAGGAGCCTGGCGGGCTACAGTTCATGGGGTCACAAAGGGTCGAACATGACTGAAACGACGGACACTCACACACACACATCATCATCAGTGTACAACATACTAAGTGAGGTTCCCAGGCAATCTGACAACATTTCTGTGGTGAATTGTGGAGTGCTGCCAAGTTAAGTAGACTTTCTCATCTGCTGTGATAACTACTATGGCAGACAGGTCCCCAGAAAACCTTCCCCACATTCACATCCTTTGAGTCATCGCCTCCCCTTGGAGGGGGAGAGGTGAGACCTCTGCTTTGCTTCTTTTTTTTTTTTTTGGAAAATATATCTTTTAAGTTTATTATAAATGTTAATGCTTCATACAGGCAAAATCTGTGTAAAATATCACAAATGTACATAGTTTATTTATTTTTTCCTTTATTTATATTAGTTGGAGGTTAATTACAATATTGTAGCAGTTTTTGCCATACATTGACATGAATCAGCCATGGATTTACATGTGTTCCCTATCCTGAACCCCCCACCCACCTCCCTCCCCATCCCAACCCTCTGGGTCATCCTAGTGCACCAGCCCTGAGCACTTGTCTCATGCATCAAACCTGGACTTGCGATCTGTTTCACAATTGATAATATATACATGTCTCAATGCTATTCCCTCAGATCATCCCACCCTCGCCTTCTCCCACAGAGTCCAAAAGTCTGTTCTATACATCTGTGTCTCTTTTTCTGTCTTGCATACAGGGTTATCATTACCATCTTTCTAAATTCCATATATATGTGTTAGTATACTGTAATGGTCTTTATCTTTCTGGCTTACTTCACTCTGTATAACGGGCTCCAGTTTCATCCATCTCATTAGAACTGATTCAAATGAATTCTTTTTAATGGCTGAGTAATATTCCATGGTGTATATGTACCACAGCTTC